TTCACTCAATTTCTTAGCAATACATACTCTCCGTAAATTTACTGCATATGATCAGATAAACGATCCACCTATTTCAGTATTACAATTCGTTGTGACATATAGTGTGGCTTCTTGCGGAATACAAACTTTTGCAACGGGTATTGCTCTAATCAAGAGTAAACGTTTATCTGACTAAAGGGGGGGGTGAATCGAATTAATTACACGTTTTATTTAATAGATGAGATATATCCTATGCTCAAGCCGAAAAAATTTCATCGAAATTTCATCAACCTAATTATGTGGACACAAATTTTGGCAATTTTACTGTAAAAATTGTATTTTGGATATTTCCTAATCAACCCATAGAGTGTGAAAGCCAAATTTTTGCCTACAAAGCAATCCTTATGGCACAAAAATGCGCGCGTCGCGAATTTTTTTTCTTTGACTTTCTTTATATTTACTGAAAAAATGAAAAAAAATGCCTAAAATTTTAAGTTTTGTAATGTCCGAATTTTAACATTTATGCAGCATAAAAACCATAACTCCATGAAAAGAAAGGAGCGGCACTTAATACCTACAACCCTGACCGGCACTTTTTTTACACAATGAAGTTATCATTAAAGACGAGGGTTAAAATTAAGACTATCCGGAGGTTGCTAATTACTGGGAGAAATATCCATTTATATATGGCGCTACTGTGGCAGAAATCGACGAAGGGATAATCAAGTTCTGTCTTACTTCTTAACAATGAATCCACCGCTGTGTACTGAAATGGGTGAACGTCTGTGAAAACATCTAAGCTGATTAGTATTTACTCGCGACAGATATCCATGACTAAAGATACTGAAGCGACTAACATCGGCTAAGAATGTTCTGTGCACCTTGATAAACTTGTGAGAATTACGAGATTAACACACGCAACCTCGATGGGCCGACAACAGCGCGCGCACGCTTAATAAAGAGGATGACCCAGTGAGTAGGTATAATTAGGACTTTTGTTTAAAGCAGTAATTATGAATTTGAAATTGAAACGCAGCAAATGTATAATGATCAGCGTCGTGGCGTTTAGCTAATTAAAATATAGATCGAATAGATATCTTTTATATAGTCCGCCCGCTATTAGATGTTGAACCGATATTAGTGTCTTTTGAGATGATTCTAACGGTGTGATCTGTATCTATTACTATATTTTATCTACGAAGAACGGATATTATGGTGAGCTCAGTATACTATTTGTTTTTAACAGATTTACAGTTTCAATAACTGCTTTGCAAATAACCCAAAGGCCTACTTTTAACTCACAGTGTCTACCATATTTTCTCGATTATGTCTATACTATGTACACACGCTTTTGCTGCTTGTTTTGGGCTCCATTCCTTGAAGCACACTAGTAGCTTCGCTGTAACGTAATAAGCCCGTCTCGCTACTACGCAGCTTCGGTTATTGATATACTTTAGGCTATTCCACATGTAATTATGTAGCGCGGCCGAACGCCGTTTGTATCGTACGCATAATACTAAAGGTTCTGCTATAATATTATTCGTTAAAACGACCTTCCATGCTTACTAACACGCAAAGTAGTTTTTTTGAGACACTATCTGAGATGAAAAATGTGGCCCTATAATCCACGAATGCGGTCAATTAGCAACATTTTATTTGCGTATTTCCACATATGGCTGAATTTTATGCGTTTTTTCTTATCAAGAATGCGCTGCAAATGATCACATCCTAGGCGGGCAGATTATTTCCAATCGACCAGGAGATGATGCGAATACGGAGCACTGTGGGGCTATGTACGCTTCAGGGTCAAGCCTGACAACTCATCGAAATTGAATATGTAAGAGTTTTTGGGGGAACGGTGAAGTGTGAAGATGCAGGTCTTGTTAGTGTACGTATAGATCTAAAAGTTAAACGCGATAAAAAAAATGTACCAACATTATAGTATAGAAAGAGAAGTCCCTGTAGTAAAAATCAACGAGCTTTTCGAATTAAACATCTAGTTCACCACTTCTTTAACTACGGCTCGACAGTTTTGTAATAGAATCAGTTTTTATCTGTAAACAAATTCTGGTGATTCTTATTAAATACATGTGGTGAGTCATTACGATAAAATGTTGATCAACG